GCCAAACTGTTACGCCTGCTGCATCGCGGTGAGCATGGGCCAGTGTGAGTATGAGGAGCGAGTGTTACGTAGTGGGTTTGAGTGCAAATGACAGAGTGTGGGTAAGTCTGAGTGTGAGTCTGATTATGAGTGATCTTGAGTGTGACTTATCAGAGTGTGAGTGGCCTGTGTGTATGAGTATGAAAATGGCGAAGCTGAGCATGAGTGGATCTGAGTATGAGTGGCCTTTGTATGAGGGAGACTGGGTATCAGTGGGTTTGAGTACCAGTGGATTCTAGTATGAGTAATCTCAGTCTGAGTGTGTCTGAGTGTGAGTGAGTCTGAGTGTGAGTGAGTTTGAGTATGAGTGAGGTTGTAAGTGAGTCGGAGTACGAGTGAGTCTGAGTGTGAATTAGTCTGAGTGCCAGAGTATGAGTGAGTCTGAGTGTGGACAGGTCTAGCTGGGAGTGAGGAGACGGAGGCTTCGCACTTCGTACATCGGCGGAGTAGATAGGACAGCGCGGCAATGAAATAGGGCCGTCGAACAAGTAAAGAGGACCACGCGGAAAACTAAACAGGACCACCGCACAAATAGTCAGAACAGCACACAGGACAGTGGAACAAGTACGCAGGACCATGTACACCAAGTAAGCAGGACCCCATAATAACTAAACATGCCAATTGAACACGTAAGCGGGACACCCAGAAACGTAGTCAGGACCACGCTGCATCTAAACGGGGCAATCGAAACAAATAAACATGTTCAGGCGGAAACCTAATCAGGGCCATCGGTTATTTAGTTTTTCGTTTGGTACTGATTATTTTGCCAGTGGCCTGCTTATGTCTTTTATGGTTATTTTTTATTGCTTTTCGACCGCCAGGCTGCTTACGTTTTTGGCAATGGTCCCGTGTGCAGTCCTTCGTTTGATGATGTTTAGTCTTAGGTTGTTTTTTGTAGTTTCTCGTGCGGTCCTGTTGTCGTTCCGTCGTCGTCGTCGTCGTCGTCGTCGTTGTCGCCGTCACCGTCGCCTTTTCCACCGTCGTCGCCGTCGTCGTTTCCACTGCCGCCGTCGGGGTGGTGGTGGTGGTGGTGGTGGTCGTCGTCGTCGTCGTCGTCATGGACGTCGTCGCTGTCGTCGTCGTCGTCGTCGTCGCCGCCGCCGCCGCCGCCGCCGCCGCCGTGGCCGCCGCCTCCGCCGCCGCCGTCGTCGTCGTCGTCGTCGTCGTCGTCGGCGTCGTCGCCGTTGTGGTCGTCGTCGTGGTCGTCGTCGTCCTCGTCGTCGTCGTCGTCGTCGTCGTCGCCGTCGCCGTCGGCGTCGCCGTCGCCGTCTCCGTAACTGTCGCCGTCGCCGTCGCCGTTGCCGTCGCCGTCGCCGACGCCGTCGTCGTTACCGTCGTCGTGGTCGTCGTTGTCGCCGCCACCGTCGCCGTCGCCGTCGCCGTCGCCGCCGTCGCCGTCGCCGTCGCCGTTGCCGTCGCTGTCGCCGTCGCCGTCGCCGTCGCCGTGGTCATCGTCCTCGGCGTCGCCGTCGTTGTCGTTTCTGCTGTCGCCGCCGTCGTCTTCGTCGTCGTCGTCGTCGTCGTCGTCGCCGTCACCGCCGTGGTCATCGCCGTCGGCGCAGTGGTCGTCGTCGTCGCCGTCCTCTTTCCCGTTGTCGTCGTCGTCGTTTCCGCTGCCGCCGCCGCTGTGGTGGTGGTGGTCGTCGTCGTCGCCGCCGCTGCTGTCGTCGTTACCGTCGCCGTCGCCGTCGCCGTCGCCGTCGCCGTCGCCGTCGTCGTCGTCGTCGGCCGTCGTCGTCGCCGTCTCCGCCGTCTCCGTCGTCGTCGTCGTCGTCGTCGTCGTCGTCGTTTCTGCTGCCGCCGCCATCGTCTTCGTCGTCGTCGTCGTCGTCGTCGTCGCCGTCGCCGCCGCCGCCGCCGCCGCCGTCGTGGTCGTCGCCGTCGCCGTCCTCTTTTCCGCCGTGGTCGTCGTCGCCGCCGCCGCCGCCGCTTTCGCCGCCGTCGTCGTTGTCGTCGTCGTCGTCGTCGTCGTCGTCGTCGGCGTCGGCGTCGGCGTCGGCGTCGGCGTCGGCGTCGGCGTCGGCGTCGTCGGCGTCGGCGTCGTCGTCGTCCTCGTTGTTTATTATTGTCCTCAGCTTCGTTACCACCGTCGTCGTGCCTCCCTTCTCGTCTGCTTCCCGCTCCCTGCCTTGCTGCCTTACTGCCTTGCTCGCCTGTCGCTTGTCCCCTGCTGTTTCTCCTCCTCCTCCTCCTTCTCCTCCTCCTCCTCCTCCTCCTCCTCCTCAGCGTCCTCCTTCTCCTCCGCATGCTCCTCCTCTTCTTCCTCCTCGTCCTCCTCAGCGTTCTCCTCCTCCTCCTCCTCCTCCTCCTCCTCTTGCTTTTTCTACTTGCCGCCCAGTTCCTGCCTTCCTAGGAGCGTGCTGAGGACTCTCGAGGATGCCCGTGCGCCAGCACAACTGGGGGAGGCTTCTGGCCATCAACTCGGAGCCGTCCCAGCCGCAGCCTGTCCGCTTCTGCCAGGGCCCTGGAACTGCACCGGGAGGATGTCATGCGTTGACCATGGGCTGTCGGGGTCCCTCCTCCCTGCGGAGTTGGAAGAGGCAGTCCGCAGTCATGAGTCAAGGAGGAGGAGGAGGGAGGGAGGGAGGGAGGGAGGGAGGGAGGGAGGGAGGGAGGGAAGGAGAGGAGGAGGAGGAGGAGGAGGAGGGGAGGGGGGGGAGAGGAGGAGGGGCGGAGGAGGAGGAGGAGGAGGGAGGAGGGAGGAGAAGGAGGAGGAGGAGGTGGAGGAGGAGGAAGAGGAGGAGGGAGGAGGAGGAGGATTTGGATTGCCTGCTCGTTGAGGCAACTAGCCTGTCGAGTTACGGTGGCGCTGCGGCTAGCGATGCAACTGAAATAGTGAGATCGCACGGGCACCTAAGGATTGCAGTATACAGTACCAGTACACCAAACCCACCCCTCCACCCCATGCTCCACGCAAAATCCCCCACCCTTCAACTGGGCAACTGGACGGCAAACGCGAAAAGCTGCGACAGTGGCTTGCTGTGCCCGTTCAGGGCATTCGGGCGGAGGGGCGGAGGGAGGGAGGGGGAAGTAAGTACGTAAGCCAAGCGGGAATGAGGAAGGCTGGGACGCAGGCCACATTCCCTACTCGAGATTGCCGACGAATGGCAACGACTCAGCTTGGCATCTATGAGGCATGGCGGTACCGCAGTGGGAACACCATGCGGAAACTCTATGCCGAGACAGGCGGCCGTCAAAGCGGCCGACGGCCGAGGAGGAAGATCCATCGCACGGCACTCGCAGGAGGAATCTTCGCACCTACGCACGGCACTCCCTTCCCGAACCATCCTGAACCCCCACCCTCAACAATACGCAGCTTGGCCGGCAAACGCTAAAGGGGCTTGCTGCAACGGCCTGGGCACTGTGGAGTAGGGGCGGGAGGAGGAGGAATAATGATGGATGAGGCTGCAGAGGAGGAGAGGGTAAGGCTGGGACGACGACCTCGGCCCTGAGCCCTCGGAAAAAGTCGCGGCGTGGGAGCGAAGCTGCAGGCACTCGATCGCCGCTCGGCCCTCCATTCACGCCTCACTCGGTCGCTCGGCCCTCCACTCACGACTCACTCGATCGCCGCTCGGCCCTCGCCTCACGCCTCCCCGAGCCTGCACAGCGGCGGCGCCGGGGGGGCCTCCAGGGTCCAGCGCGGCCCGCCGCCCGACGGCCTCATCCACCAGGCGCCGCAGCTCGCACGCCCTCCACAGGAAGTCCTGCACCTGCGGGGAGTGTGGGGCCGCCTTCTCCCTCCAGTACAGCACGGCCTCGACCCTGGACAGCTGCTGCTTAAGGAGGCGGACCGCGCCGTCCGCCGCCTGGATGTCCGTGGTAGGCTGCACGCGCTGCACCCTCTGCATCGCCGTAGGCGGAGCAGCCGTGGGCGCGGCGACCACCTCGTCGACGCGCGGCTGACCCTCACTGGCACCGCGCGCAGCGGCGGCGCGGCGTCTGGGCCACGCGTTCCGGCATGCCGTCGCCTGGCACCTGGCAGTCAAGGACACGACAGCGGCGGTGGCCTGTGCCTCAGCCGTCACCTGCTGCAAGATCTCGTCCTCCTCGGTGGCGAGCCGCACGCGCGAGCCCGATCGCGGACGCGGCTCGGGCTCGGGCTGGCAGCGGCGGCGACGGCGCGAGGCCGACCGCAGGCGGCCATCGCCCTGCTGGCCCGCGCCCGCATGTCGAGGCTCTCCAGGTGGCGGCGGCGGTAGCACACGAGGCTGCTGCAGCAAACGCGCCGGACTCGGTGATGTAGGTGGAGGGCACACGAGCACGAGCTTGCAAGCCGCCAATGGCTCAGCAAGAGCATCACGAGCACGATCACGAGCACGGGCCTCGCCCGCAGCCGCAGCCTCCAGCTCCGGCGCACCAGCGCGACCAGCACGATGAGGCTCGCGATCGGCATGAGCAGCGACGCGAGCGAGACTGGCCACGTCGCTCATGAGCGGCCGGCGACCAGTCCGGGCAGCGAAGCCGAGCCTGCGCACAGCGGCGCGCAGGCCCGGTCTCGGCTGGTCGCCATGGCGCCAGCCGGAGGACTCTCGGTGCGCGCGGCTAGCCCTCCACTCGCCTGGGCACGGCGAGGCGAGGCGGCCGGCACGCATGGCTGCCCGCCCCGCGCGAGGTGCGCTGCTCCTGGAGAAGTCCCAAACACCTCGGACCTGGGCGGCAGCTTGAGCCAAAATGGCTACGGAGGAGGAGGAGGAGGGAGGAGGGAGAGGAGGAGGAGGAGGAGGGAGGAGGAGGAGGGGGAGGAGGAGGAGGAGGAGGAGGAGGGAGGAGGAAGAGGAGGAGGAGGGCATCTGGAGAGTTGATACCCCTGCAGTGGCACGTCGGGGCATCAACTTTCCGGCCGCCCTGGGGCAGGCGGCCCCGACGGCGGACAGGTTTTCAGTCGGGCCTGGCACTCTACAGGAGGAATATTCAAAAGTAGTAAAACAAATTGCCTGGGGACGATTTTTTTTGGAGTTTTTTTTTTTTGAGCTTGTTTGACAATTTCTAATTTTTCCTTGAAAATCCTCCTGTATGGGGGACTGGGGGACAGGCCCACTTAGACAAGTTTGTCTTCCCCCGTTCTTCGTCTGCCAATTCATCCCAGGCCGATTTCTGACGGCACGCTTGGGCCCGACAGGGGCTTCCCTGGGGGCTGAGATCCAAGGAAAATATGCAGAAAGTCCGACATCAATGGAACAGCTCCTCTTGCTCCTCCCCTGAGATCCGACGTCGCGAATCACCTACAGCATCGTTCGAATGCTTACCCCCAGCCCTCGACCCCGTCTTTCTGCTACACGTCGCGGGTCGGATCGATCCGCAGGGTCCTGGGGCCCCAGATTTGTCGAACGTGCTTGGGGGTGAACAAATGGCAGCGCTCCGGTGTCAGCCTTTCTCCTTGTCCCTTTTTTCCGATCTCCCTCTCTCTCTCTCTCCCTCTCCCGCTCTCTCTCTCTCTCTCTCTTTTTTTTGTTGTTCTCTCTCTCTCTCTTTTAGTTTCTGAGTTTTTTTTTTTTTTTTTTTTTTTTTTTTTTTTTTTATCTCTCTATTTTTCTATCGCCTTTCTCCATCACCCGCGATACCCCGAGGACAAGGACCGCAAGCAGCCCGGCCGGTCCATCTCCTCCGTCGTCCTGCGCGCTGCCCCTGGACAGGCGGCAGACGGGGGGAGGGAGGCAGGGGGCCACACTGCGAAGCCTACCCCTCCTCCTGCCTCCTCCTCCCTCCTCCTCCCCTCCTCCTCCCTCCTCCCTCCTCCTCCTCCTCCCTCCCTCCCTCCTCCCTCCTCTCCTCCTCCTCCTCCTCCTCCTCCTCCTCCTCCTCCTCCCCTCCTCCTCCTCCTCCTCCTCCTCCTTCCCTCCTCTCCTCCATCCTCCTCCTCCTCCTCCCACTCGCGTTTCTCCTCCTCCGAGCCGTCGTAGGGGCCACATGCGAAACCCTACCCCTACCCCCCACGATTTTGAGGGGGAGGGTGGGGCTCACTTCGCTCGGGAGCTCCCGAACGAAGTGAACCCCACCCTCCCCCTCAGAAGTCGTGGGGGGTAGGGGTAGGGTTCGCACGTGGCCCCCTGGGAGGTGCCGTGATGTAGCGGGGCGAGCTGGAGGTGGACAGACCTCCTACCCTGACACCTCGATTAAGGAATCGGCCGTTTTCGGTTCGCGAGAGGGCGCCGCGGCCGTCATTTTTACGGGTCCAGGTCCGTCGGTTTCGGTCACAGGCCGCTCTCACTAAGTGGAGGTTTACTAAAGGGAGGTTTGTCCACCGCTGAGTGAGGGGAAGCGACACTCGGTAGCAAATCATGGGAGCCTGGCGTAATTTCCTCGTTGATTCCGTCTTCTGCGTCGGTCAGCGTCGATGAGCGCCTGGGAGTCGATGAGATAGCACCGACTTAGCGTCGATTAGCGTCGATTTAGCGTCGCTTGGCGTCGACTAGCGTCGATTAGCGTCGATTCGAAAGAGCCGACAAGATGATGGTATGAGAGGCTCCCATCAGTTGCCACCGAAAGCGACACCACCACCGCCAGCGGGCCACCTTCGGCTAGGACTTTTCCACCATTCGAATAGCGAAACAGTGGCATAAGCATCAGCTCTCGGCCCCCCACCCTAGTACTAACCGGCCCCCTGGGTATGAGCAGGTCTGAGTATGAGCAATTTTGTGTGTGAGTAAGTCTGGGTATGCGTAAGTCTGAGCGTGAGCCAGTCTGTGTATGAGCAAGCCGGGGTACGAGGAGGAGAGGGAAGGCGCAGGAACAGAAGGAGGAGGGATCGGCGGCGCCCAAGAGATAAAACAGGGACCCCATCTCAGGACACGGGGAAACGTAAAACACGGCAGCTCTCGGCGGTGCGCGCGGATCTCTTTGGGTCGGCGCTCAAGAGCCCCATCTTAGGATACACCTTAGGCGATGCTTAAGAAAACCTAAGTTTTCGGCCAGAGTCTCGATTATTCTTAATGTTTCAATGTAAATCCTAAGATTTGAATGGACATTCTGGGTTTTTATTTGAATTCTGAGACTCTCAATTTCTTAACCCATGATTTCTAAAGCATTTCGCAGGGTGTACGGGGAAACGAAACAGCACATCGGCTCTCGGCGGTGCGCGCGGAGGCTCCTGGGCCGGCGCTGGACCCCTTTCTCCGTCGCCGCCCCTGGCTCGCCTGGCGCGCCAGAGGAGGGGCTCCAGCGCCGGCCCGGGAACCTCCGCGCACCCTTCACGAAGGAAGGGGCCCAAGGACGCAAAAATACACATTTCCGATATTTTCGGGGGAGTCGACGACTCATTGTGTCTGTGTGATCTTCTGGGGTTCCAGCTCCGACCCAGGAACCTCCGCGCTCACTCCTTCTTTTTGTCGCGGCCGCAAGCGAAAGCGCAGGAGGCATCCGAAAAGGTCGGGCGGGCTGCGCGCGAGCCTGATTCTACAGCGACCCAGCGCGGGATCAGAACCTGCCGCCGGGTGGGCAGCTGGCTGAAGCTGAGCTGGGACA